ACCAAATGACCCATTTTTCACTGTGGCCTATTACATTTTTTCAAGGCAATCAAGTATTAGTAGTAATAAAAATAAATATTATACTCAGATGTTTTTTAAATGTCTAACTTCCTATCTCTCAAGCGTTGGTTATAAATATATATTTTCGAGTTTTCCTCAAATTACCAGTGCAGTTTAAAACANATGGGCTCAATAAAAGATCGAAACGTTGGCACGATAAAGAAAATGATTTCTGAAACCTACATCACACCCGACCGCATCTCACGATATCTGAATAACTATAGATTAACGGTCACTAATCTCTACACATTATTACCAATACTTGATTGTCGTGACCCTAAATGTAATAGGTCACAGTAAAAAATGGGTCATTTGATATGTTTGGATTGCGGGATTTCTGAAATAAACCGCGGTGGATCGTGTGACGAACGCGAATTGAGTGGGCAGTGTCCAAGATTTCACACTGAATAACCTCCGTTATAAACTTATTAGAAGATCTACGTTATAATAAGAAACGTGCCAATTGTGTCAGTGTAAAATAACAACGATCAGTGTCTAACGTAATTTGTTTGGGACATTCTTTTGGAATTTTTTCTTAATAATCAATTGTTAATTTTTTTATATTAGAGACCAAAAGAAAAAAAAGAGAAAAAAACGGGGAGAACTTGAAATATCAATAAGCTGGGACTGTTGACAATTAAATTTTGCCTTCCTTTTCAAATATTTACTTATTAATATAAGGCGAAATTGGCCGGATTCGCGTGTTTTTCTTACAATCCGGCCTTCACCTTTAAACTCTGGGATCATGAGAAAAGTCAACTGTGACGTTCGATAGCAAATATACTTGAACTGGGGCTGTTCCGGTCACTGAACCATCCCTCCGGAAAAAGAAAGTCCGGCATCGGGTCGGAAATTTCTCAATATTCTCATTGAGAAATACTTTCCGGTGTACTTTTTCTTTATAGACAATGCCGTTTGTTCGGAGGTGTGAATTTGAACGGCAACCAGTTGTTTTCACATTTCGTTCGTTATTGAGATGAAAAGCCTAAGGTTAAATAAAGATCCAACAACTTATTCATTAATTTTTACACACAAAAAAAAGTGTTTCAACTAATAAAAAATTAACAAATAATAAAACGCCAACGATGAAGCTAATAAGTGTAGGACGTGGGCGAAAGTTTCATTTAAACATAACATTAAAACAAAACGCTGTGTTTCGTTTTCTAAAATAATGCATTTCACACAATTCTCCATTTCTTTTATAATAGGTGTAAAACATAAGTTTAGTGTTATATATATCTACGATTTTAAATGCAATAATTTTAAAATAATTTACTATAAATACTTTGATTAAACATAAAACTTCTAGCATTGTATAATTTATTTTTTTTTCACATCCTCCATGTATTTGTAAAATTTAAACAATGTTTTTAAATCCCAGGAAGATGATTTCAATAAAGATCGAAACGCTGGCATGATAAAGAAAATGTTTAGCTAAAAACCTACAACACAAGACCGCATCTCACGATCTCCAAATGATCATTAAATTTAATATATTTTGTAGAAAAATTAATTTTCCATAATTTATACGTGAAAATACACGGAATACGCGGATTTTCCAGGAAGAAGTGTAATGTAAATATTAACGTTCTTCGTAAACCTTCTTCGCGCCTTCAAGTTTGGAAGTACAACAGTACCGTCAACACAGTCGTGTCGTGCGGGTACTGTATACCTAACGCCTTAACTTTGGGTGTGACCATTTCTAATTATATTACCTGACTTTATTGTTTGAAACTTTTTTATTAATTAAGTACCAAAAGATAAATTATAATTAATTAATGCAATAATTGCACGTGAGAATTTCTTATTATAATGCCTTCTGAGAAGTTTATTAAGGAGATTATTCAGTGTGAAATCTTGGACACTGCTCTCTCAATTTGCGGTTGTCACACAGGTTTATTTTAAAAATCCTGCAATCCAAACATATCAAATGACCCATTTTTCACTGTGGCCTATTACTATTATTATTAGTAATAAAAATAAATATTATACTCAGATGTTTTTTTAACGTCTAACTTCCTATCTCTCAAGCGTTGGTTATAAATAAATATTTTCGAGTTTACCTCTGCAGTTTATTACTACTGCAGTTTAAAACAAAATACGCCCGAAAGAAGAGAAAAAGAAGGAAAACACACAGAAGGCCGGCGATGACTTCAGCTGTTTGTGGGTCCATAAACTTTCCACTTTATTATTATTACTTCGCATTACTTTTTTTTTCGTGGCCGAGGCAATACATGCATCCGCGTTTTTTTATTTGTAAAATTGGGCTCTCCTGTCATTTACTTGGATATCATCTATTCTTCCACACGTGTTGAAAGGGCTCTGCAACTCATGTTATCATTTACGCTAATAAATGCATTTTCCCTCAGTAGAAACTTTTATACTATTTACAACTGAAAATGAAGGGGCACCCGGGTTTTACGCCGGTGTTTCGCCCTCAATCACTTTAAACATATATTCGTTTTGGGAGAAGGCAATTTTTTTAAGAACAGAAAAAAATCTGGTTATTTATAATGGGAGACTTTATAACGTGAGAAGCCTTTTTTTGTTAAGAAGAAAATCTGTTCAGGAAGAATAACTTGTTTTATAAGATTTACTAATCATGCTAATACTAATGAGATTTAATTGTATGAATTTTTATTGTAATAGTAACTTTGTTATATATTCAAACTTTCTGTAAATCCACGCAGGGTTCAATAATTTTTTTTAAAACTACATTTATTTGACAATGCAACTACAAATATTGTATTAAGTAAATATGTTCATGTATGTTGAATTTGTCATTTGAATCTTTTGTAGGAGAAGTCGCCCAGGAACAACACTCCTTCACACTGAACCATTTTCAATCTTCACTCAATGAGAAAGACTCGCTTCAATCGTCTTGGATGATCATGGGGTAGATTTGATGGTAATAACTGTCGTACTAATAAATTGCTGTGTGTTTTCAATGATTGATAAAACAGTGGTTTTGAGTTCATGTACAAATGGGATCATGATGTGGAGTGAATATTGAAAGATACTCTGAAAACAATTTAGGTTAATTATAGCTGGTGTAAAATCTGCATTTATTTTTAAATACATCTACGATTTTAAAAACCAAATTTTAAAAGCAACTAATAAAAACTTACAATTTTATATAAAATTTAATATATTTCGAAAAAAATCGCATAATTTATTCGAGAAAAATACAAAGAATAGGGGGACTTTCCCGAAAGAAATCTAATGTAAATATTAACTTTCTTCTTAAACCTTCTTCGTGCCTTCAAGTTTGGAAGTACTACAGTACCGGCAACACAGTCGTGTCGTGCGGGTACTGTACACCTAACGCCTTAACTTTGGGCGTGACCATTTCTAATTATATTACCTGGCTTTATTGTTTGAAACTTTTTTTATTAATTACGTACCAAAAGATAAATTATAATTAATTAATGCAATAATTAAATATTACATTTAACTGTTTTTATTATTTTTTAGAACAGCCAAATTTTGTTTTCGGCTTGATAAAATTTCAAAACAGCCGGATCCCCGAAAAAAAAAAACTTTTCAACAGTAATATGAAATGAATCCATATATGTTTAGCTGTCATAATTGGCCATATTAATTATTTCAATTAATTATTATTTTTATCTAATGTCTTGATTGATTTGACATAGTTGATGTCAAGAGCGGGTACTGTATAACTAACGCCTCAATTTTGGGCGTGACCACTTCTAATTATATTAACTGGCTTTGTTGTTTGAAAATTATGTGTTTTGAAATGTGAAGACGTGGTTTACTTTTTTACGACGGTTTCGGAAGAAAAGTTAATCCTCACGAATGAACGACTTCACGTTTTTCTCTCCGAGACATCCGTCCGCCTCTCTGCCACCCGGCCTCTAATCAACGACTTCCTATGTGTATAAACATAGGCTGGTTTGTCCGTGGCATCTCTTATATTCTGCCAAAAAAACACACTCAATCCGATCAAGTTAATAAATACATTCATTCAGGACGTTAAAATAACCAACCTAGTTTGGTCGGCATATGGGGTGTCTATATTACGCCGCAAACAAATTTACTCAAACACTCACGCTAATAAATAAATTCATTCTGGATGGGCAAAACCATGTATGGAAAGACATCAAATGCGAACTTATATTCACTTCGGGTACCCAATCAAATTTTCGCTGCCATCACTGCTGTGTCTTAGAATATTTTTGAGATTTATGTCACACCTAGTTTTGTGCGACGCCAATTGTCGCACTTTACAATAATTGTTCTACAGTTATTTGGGCGCGCTTTATCATCATCTTGTTCTTTGCCCATGTCCAAAACGGTTTGACCGACGGTTTCATCTCTTTTAATTTGCCGGTCATTACAGCTCATCGGATTCGCCAATTTTCTTCTCTTCCAATAAAAATTTTAAAATAATTTTTGGCATCCTCTAGGCTCATAGGAGTCTCCTGGTAATGCGGCTTCGTCGCTACTTGTTTTTGTTGCGATACAGCCGGAATCCAGGCAATAACGATTTCTTTAATTATTTCATTTCTTTTCTTTCGTATTGCCTTGCTTAATTGGTTCATTTGCATTAATTTTTCTTCAATTTTCTTAAATAAATAATAATTAAAAGCGTCACAATACCTTTTAAATAAAAATAAATTGGTGCGACCCATCGAACTTTTGTAGATATATTGACAATGTTATTGCATACGATTGTTCTGAATCTCTTTTAGCTAAGCTAACTTTTAAGAATTTTCTGTCATTTATTCTCAATGTTATTATAGGTTTTCAATTTTTAATAAAAACCAGAAGATATTTTTAGGCCTAATTTGATATTCTAAGATATATTCTTCTAATTGTGTTTTACGATTTATGACACTATGATTATTGTGAGATTTTACTGCGTGGCCACGACAAACTTGGACTTATTATTTTATATTAAAATATAAAAGAAGCTTTACCTCGAGGTAGTCGACGGTTTCGATGATTTCTTTTTCCTGAGATGGAACGATGTTCTGGAAGTAGGGTCGGAGGCCGAAATGGAACGGGCAGCCCTCTTTGCCGCTGCCGTCATTTTCGACTTCAGCTGCAAAAGTAATAATAAAAATAATAAAAAATTGAAAAAGGTTTTCTTTCACCAGTTGTCATTTCAATTTTTTCATTAATTAAGACATTCTTGCCCTTATACTTACCTATAACGACCTTTTTGAGCGACGCCCCTTTTTTCTTTTTCTCGTGATGGCCTTCCATTTTATTTATTTATTTATTTTTTTTCCAAAGAGTGTTCATTTGTTCTTCAATTCTTCAGCATTTTTCCCAAGGTCCTGGAACAATATAAATCAAACAAAACATTTTTAACAAGAAAGAAAAAAGAACTGATTATTTCTGACGATTTTTGATTCTCAGCACGACCCAAGATTTGACAATTGATTATGCCAGTTTGATAAGGATTAAACATTTTCTATAGGGCCTAACATCACACTTAAGATTTTTTGGCCAAACTTAAAGTAAGATGCGACATTCTGCGCGGCTTTCTCGTTGATTATTCACTTTCGCAAATCAGGAATTGGTCTTGTAGTACTTTGATTTTTAAAAGTTTAAACCTGGTGTTTTTTAATTGATTTTTACATCGAATGACTCTTCTGAGTAATAAATCACTTTTATCTATGTAAATATTAACATATTTTTTTCCGAAAACCGTAGAAGACTGAAAAAACTCGGTTTAACTCGAATAAAATGTTAATGTAGTCGTACGTATAGAGATATACGTGATCGATAACTTTCAAGGATACAATATGGCATCAGGGTGTTTAAAGGGCGTGTTATTTCTGTTAAACGGATTTGTTAGCTTTAATTTTTTTAATCAAGATTAAGGAAATGAGCTTTTGAAATATTTATTCTAACGGCGCATCTACCTCGTTATAACACAGATTTTCCTCTTCCCCGTCAAACTTGAAGCCTGTAGAAAACTAAACAAAACTGCCTGTCCGGAAATAATCAACTTGCAGGCACAAAAAGCTACAATATTTAATTACAAAGAACGTGGGATTTTATGAAACTTTTTTTAGTGATACTAGGTCGAACAATATTAGATACGTGTTAAATCGTCTTGGCAATCTAGGAGCCAAGAATTTTTTAAAAATATTTATGATTATCTACCTTCATTGTTCATACATTTCAATATTATTATATATTCACTAATTTCGTGGTCCGCTTGTCCAATTTAATCATTACAATTAATTAAGGTTTTTAGTTGAGATGAAAAATGGCAAAAAGGAGGGAAAACTCATAAGGTGGGGTGAGATAGGAAGTTGATGTCCGAGTGGATCGAGGTCACGGTAGCTCAAGTGGTAGAGCAGCGGCGTATCAAGCCGAAGATCGTGGGTTCGAATCCCGCTCGTGCCATTAACTTTTTTTCATCTCAACTAAAACCTTAATTAAATGTAATTATTATATATATTAATCGATTTGTAATTTTTCATAAAATAAGGCAATAATATGTAGGATTAAATTAAATTAGATTAGATATGTAAAAAGTTATAAAAACAGCGTTATATTTAAGATTTTGCATCTGCGTTATTATGACTAATCTGTAATTCCTTGTGCGTCGATGTCCACAGTTGAGGTCGTCCACTACCAGTGAATCAAAATTTGGTTATTGTACTTTTCCTTGGAGGCATTTAATCCTGTAATCTTTTCGTCCTCAGTTTATCGTTCTTCGATTTATTACGTTCTTTCTGCAATTGCTTCATTAGCGCTTCCAACTTCTTTTCAAAATTTCGTTTTGCATGTTTAGAATTCAGGATTAAACACCTGTAACCCAAATTGACGTTATTCCTATTTCTCTGGACTCCTGGAGGCAGGGGCGGATCCGGGTTGATCATCAGGGGGGAGGTTTAAAAATTTTCGATTTTTTTAAAGTCAGGGGATCGAGAGAAAACTCTACACATAGTTTTTCGGCAATACTTTCTCCTCCTTCAAAGGGAAAAACTGAAAAAATAACTTGATTTAAAAGTTTCAATATTTTAATTTCAAAAAGGAACATAATTTTCATATATTTTCAAAATGTTTTTCTGCCATAGTCTGCAATGTAAATGTTTTTAATGACCAAAATTAACGAATATAAAAAATTAATAGTCAAGAGATCAAATAAGAAGATTAGAGAAAGAAATCGGAAAAGCACTAGAAGCACATGTCTAATCACGAAAAAAATCATCGTCTGCAATGTAATTGTTTAGCACAAAACATAAACAAAAAGTTTTTAGTTGAGATAAAAAAGTCAGTGTCACGAGCGGGATTCGAACCCACGACCTTCGGCTAGATACGCCGCTGCTCTACCACTTGAGCTACCGTGACTTCGATCCACTCGGACACTAACTTCCCATCTCAACCCCACCTTTCGAATTTTCCCTCCTCTTTGCCAATTTTTTATCTCGACTAAAAACCTTAATTAATTGAAAGATATTAATTGGTCAAACGGACCACAAAAACTAGTGAATTTAATAAACAAAATGGTAGACTCCTTCCTTTCGCGGAACCAATCCAGTGCTGCTAAAAATTTCCTAGTTTAAAAATTATAGAATAATTTGAAAACCATGGGTATATATTATTTATTTTATACAAAACGTAACATCATACCATAGGATAAAAAAATCAATTTTTTTTGTTTCTTATTAACAGCTGGCGTTAAATTAAATTAGATTCGGGCCATTTTTTCCTAGACCACTGAAAATAATAAAAATAAAATAATGATTTACTATTTAATTACATAATTTGAAATTTAATTAATTAAATTAATTATTTTCTCGAGTTACTTCTCTATTCCATTTTGGTAACAATGTGAGATTTAAGGAAAAAGACGTGTGATGGCCACGCCATATTTATTAATAATATACTCAATTTTAAGGACTTTGCTTTTTACCGTGTTTTCTGTATAACTTAAAAGAAATCTTGGCACATTGTAACAGAAAATTAGGAAACGCCTACGCTTTCATTTTATTTAAAAAAGAAATTAATTTGATCTTTTAAAAGAAAGAAATTAGGTTTGAAAGTAGCGTGTTTGAGAAAAAATCTTAATTAAAAATGGGACTTTCTTCAAATTATGATAACATTTAAATTACTGCCTGGATTTGAGCCAAATTGAGCTTTAAAGTTACAGGAAGAACCCTGCTTACAAACGGTACCAAAAATTTCCAAATTCAATATTGAGGGGCGTAGCTAGGAGGGAGTGAACTTAAACAAACCGAGGAGATTGTTGTGCTGGAGAAAACCTAAAAATGCTAGAGGGCGCTAGATGTTTGAAAGAAATCTACCTAAAATTAAAACTCAACTGGCAGGTTTCTTGATATCGAATGGAGTGATTGAATTATCGAACCCGGGTAAAACAAAGCCAAAGCGTGACCAGTTAAGAGGAAACTGGTTTAATTTTGGGAGGTTTATCAGAGGTAACATATCAAGGTTTATATAATTCTGAAATATAAGCCTCTTTGCTAAATTAAGACTAAACTAAGACATATTACATAGAAAGCATAACATCTTGACTTGGCTCCACGGGGGGGATCCCTTTTCCACCCTTATTGGATTCGCCACTGCCTGGAGGACTAAAATATTGTTCAAAATCTAATTCTACACGTTTTTTACTACATTCATTAGAGTTCGTGATCCGATAGACCAAATAATATCTTTCAATTAATTAATCTTTGTGTAAGGTGTTGGTTGAGATAAAAAAGTCAGTGTCATGAGCGGGATTCGAACCCACGTCGAATTTTGAAAAATGGCAAAAAGAAGGGAAAATTAAAAAGGTTGTGATGGAGTTTAGTGTCCGAGAGGATTGACGTCACGATAGCTCAAGTGGTAGAGCAGCGGCGTATTGAGCGAAGGTCGTGGGTTCGAATCCCGCTCGTGACGCTGACTTTTTTTATCTCAACCAATACCTTACATAAAGACTAGTTTTTACTACTTTTATTTCGTCCATCAGATGGGCTTCTACTTATTTTCACTGAACTACAATCTGAAATTCCCCGTTTCCTTTTCCTCCGCTGATCTTTCAAAGTGTAAAAAATATAAGTAAACGCTATTTTGCATTTATAAATCGACTAATAAGACCATGAGACGCTAAATCATTACGACACTTTTAAATATGGATATTCCAGGGTTAAGTAGGATTTTTCGAGCAATTTGCCGGTAAGCATCCCCTCTCTGATCAATCAGGAACGATTAATTATTCGGTTTGAAAAAATCTAATTAAATTTTCAATAAAGGAAATATCAGAGTCAAAGCACCTGTTGAACGGGGAGGAATATCCCGGAGTCTGGAATTCACTAATAACTTTCCCATTTGCCGGAACCCGTTTTCCTGGAAAGTAATAACGCATTTTCCTTTCCATTTCTGGGCCCCCCGCCTTTTTCCTTTCCTTTACGACAGCCGAGGAAATTCCGAATGTTATAGCCTTCCTTCAACTATAGGACTAGATTGCCCGGAATTTTTATTTATTTTATTTTTTTCTCTCAGCTACTTGATTAAACTTTAAGATAAAAACGTCCACACAAGGCACTTTCGACCATGCTGAAAAATTTTCTCCCGTTACATTTTCTAAACCAGTGAGAAAAAACAGGTTTTTAAAAATCCACCAGTACCTCTGAGACCGCCTAGTTTCGCTGTTTAAATTAACCACCTACGCACGGAAATTCCAGGGTTTAACAGACTATGTGAAGTCACTTTACATTTTTAAACTGTTGGAAAAAATACTTTATAATGATTTTGAACAAACTGATATCGGTTAGACAATTCATGATTCTGGGTCCGTCTAGTTTCGCTGTTTTTTTCCCCTACAGGACAGGCGTAATAATGTGCGTTGTGTGCATACATAAATCGCCCCAACGCATTTTCTCAGCTAAACAAAAGGAGGTTACGAACGTGGGATCATCGATTTTATAGAAAATCTTTTTTTGGAATTTGGCCCTCGGAGGTAAGAATATTTAGAATATTTTAAAATATGCTATTCTACCTTTGTCGCGCATATACCAATATTATTATATATTCACTAGTTTTAGTGATCCGCTTGACCAATTAATATATTTCAATTAAGTAAGGTTTTTAGTTGAGATAAAAAAGTCAGTGACACGAGCGGGATTCGAACCCANTATTATATAATATATTATTATATACCATTCCATTTGTTCTTTCATGTTTATTAAAAATATAATATGCAAGACTGCATAATATGAGATTAGATATTTGGGTGTTTGGCTAATCGTGTTACAAACTTTGCCAGTAGATTCGACATTCACAAAGGAACAAAAAGTCCTAAATAACTACGGTCCGA